GCTTTCCATTCGAAGAAATAGTGTACTTAACGCCACTTATTGCCAACGGGCGGTTTCATATGCAACCATCTAATACATTATGACATTAACAATGGAAATACAAATAATGCAGTTACTAAATATAAATTGCATTTAGAAAGTGTAAATGATAATTGCAATGAACTCAATATATTAAATTCAGAAACTTCTTTATAAAGATCGAATAATATTTTTATGGTTTTCATTATTTTTATTGCTATATTTATTTCCAAACAATATATAAAAAAAATCGACTTCGGTAGGATTTGAATCCAGGTTGCTTCAATCACTATTATGACGTTATCCTCTCCCTTTAATAACTTCTCTTCTCCCTTGAAACAGAGAGAGAGAGAGAGAGAGAGAGAGAGAGAAAGAGAGAGAGAGAAAGTATAAACATCTTTAGCGTCATTAATACGCCATTAATACGTTCGTTGAATATTCTGTTCAAATATACTTAACCGGAAATAAGCTAAAAATATAATATTATCCATTTGTTATTTATTGAACTTCTGTGGTTTAATTTGCGAAAAGCTGTCTTTTTATTGCCAAATTATCAAAGTCGCCTTATAATTCAAAGTATTATCGTATTATCGAACTAAGTTGTAATTAAGTTGTAGAATACTTTATTAAAATATTGTACAACATTTTTTGAACATTTTGTATATTTCTAAGAAATATTTTTTTGAATATATATTTCAGATTATCATGTGAGATCCGTTTAACAGGAATTTGATAAAAAGTTGTTTTAACAACCTTGAGCTTGTGCCACAACGTATTCTTTAATGATAAGACATTACTTAATCATACGGGACGAAAATAACTGTAGAGATCATAGCTTAATATTGCATGTAGAGAACGTAGCAACGCGTGCCGGCACGATAACAACCGACACCAAACAAGCGGCCAGTTTTTCAAATAAAGGAATATACAACAGAGGTTGATAAGAACACCGAAAGAAATACTGACATTGCACTTTTCCGAGCGATGCGTCCTCCGCGTGTAAGAACTCAGCGAAACATTGTTAGAAGGATATGTTCCGTATGAGCGTTCGACATGTTTCGTTTATCGACAACAATATCTCTATTTCTTTTGACAAAATTTCTTGGAAAATAGAAAATAGATCAATTTCCCCACTTATACACTTTCCAATTCTTTATATCATATTTATATAAGGAAGAGATTAGATAAATATTTTCCTGTATTTTTCTCTGTCTCTTAGTGGAAAAGTTATAATTCATCGGCAGGGCAAACGTTACAATTATAAAAAAACATTCTTCAACTTCAAGATAGATTCAAATAGAATCAAAACTTCAAGATAGATTCTTTCTTCATAACATCACGTGACTTTTTAACATATATCTCGATTATTTTGTATATCCTAGATAGACTAATGTACGCATATTTGACAGAAAATCTAGTTGATTTATAAAAATTGCATCTTTTATAAGTGTTACATATGATACTCATAAAATGACGAAATAGAAAGACGAAAAAATGATCTAAACTTGCTTAAAACAATGTCATGTAAAATGTAATATAAGAATCTTAGTATAACTAACTTAATAAATTTGTTATTGCATTAATATCATAAAAAGTTTTTGCTATTTGCTATTATACAATGTAAATTTAAGAATTAATTCAATTGCCTTATAAATATAATATTATATTAAAAAATTCTACAGTATTTCTCTCCATGATTCGATTATCTTGCGTCATGATAATCATTAAAGTTTATCTAGAATGTTATATAATAATACTCTGCTTAAAAAATCCGATAAGAATTGATAAAAACATACTTAAATTTCATTGAAACACTAAGTGATTTTATCTGAATTTATCATTTTTATCGGATATCACATTTCAGCTTATGTGAAAAAACTATCAAATTCTTCTTTTTTATCACACAATCTTATTTAAACAATTAAATATTTATCTGAATACATTTTTCTATATAATCTTATTAAATTATTTCATTAACAAATTAAAATTTAATGTTTATATGTTTATATGAGACTATTTTTTTATATATAAATTTAATTTAGTCCAAAAATATTCTTATATATTTGTATATATGTTATAGAAAAATAATCGTATGCTACCATTTAAAAATATATAGCACAAAAATATAGCACAAAATTTGAACTAAAATATTTCTTACGGATAAACGGTTCAATTGTGAATATATCAAGAACGCGCGCGCACAAAATAAGTTTAACACATTCGCTAGTAGAATTTATACAGATTTATTCTCTCTTAAACCATCTTGTTTTTTCATGTGATTATGCAAAACAGACTTGATTTAAAGTCAATATCAAGAAGAATGTATATCGTCATTACAGATGTATGTATGGTTTTTTGGCCGTGGAGCAAGTCCATTAGCCAGATCTATGGTCACCACATGTTTATACTATACTAGATCGCTAATTTCGTAAAAAAAGGTGAAACCAACAAAATTTCCGATTTTGGCCATGGTAATTTACAACAAGATGACGGCGATGCGTTCGATGGCTACATTCCGATATTCACTGTCAGTGGAAAATGTATACGTAACATGAACTACAGATCTTCAGTACTGGCAGTGAATATAAGAATACAGCCTATATGTATTGCGTATATATAGTGCATAGTGTAGAATGTATATATGGTACATATGTGTAGTGCGTATATGATATCCGATGTGGTGATATTTAAAATTTATAATTGTGAAGTTTTAATTGTCTTTCCGAAAAGATGCCGAGCAGGTGTTGCATTCCAAAATACAAAAATAGTATAGGATAGGTAATAAAAGGATAGGTTTTATTTATTTATTTATTAAGTTGAATTTGCATTTATTTGTAATAAATATTCGGGTTTTATTTAAGTTAATAATTGAGAAGATTGTTTTAATTAAAAGTTATAAATATTAGAACTGAAAAATTTTATTTCATTGAAGTTCAAAAAAATATTTTAGTACATCTCAGATAATAGCTCAAAAAAGCGAAAGCAGCTATTTTGTTGTAAGGGTCCATGATCGAAAGTAGAAATCCTACCGGCCTCAGTCTTTCCATACGCCATAACTCTAAGTTAGCGACTTAATATAGTACAAACATCTTTGGTCGTCACATATATATGACGCTGGTCGTGTGAAAACATTGCGTCACACATATGTGACGCTTGTAGCAAATGAATAAATAACATGCAGAAAGTATATAGTTAATTTATCAAATATATTTCAGATAAACAATCTGAACCAAAAATACGATTTAATCACATAGATTTTTTCTTACCTAATTCTATCAAACTTTTTAAGCAAAGTACTCAAATTTTTAAATAGTCTTCTTTTTCTATCTATCTATATATCTATCTATATCTATCTATCTATCTATCTATTTATCTTTCCCTCTTTCTTTTTTCTACCAAATCTTAACTTATATCTGTTTCTTTTTAAGTTCTATAATGCCCGTATCAGACCATGAATTGAATATTGCAATTAAACAAATCAGGTAATTTAAATCTTGCTTCTGCTTCATTTGATTGATTCAATTGCAATTCTTAATTCATAATTTGATACAGGCATAAGTGTACACTAAAATTGCGTTCGGAAACCCCATTTTGTGGATAAAACCGGATGGATAGTGATGGAGGTAGAGTGCACCTCGGATAAGAAGTTTCTGAACGACAGGTAAAGAAAATGGTAAATAATACGATTGTTTGTTTTTTTATCGAATTAGTATACACTGACAGAATATTTAAAAAGAAACAAATATATAGTTAAGATTTGGCCGAAAAAAGAACTAGTACAAACAGTACTAGTTTAGTAATAAAAAACAAACTTAATAACGAATAAAAGTATTATCGTAACTTATGTGGCTGCTGGACTAGAATTAATGAAAACAGCTTTGAATATAGTTTACATTCGAATAGTAGTAATGACGAAACAGATGGAATGATTAAAGAGCCAAATGTTGTTGAAGTTTAGATAAGAATTGGTAATCGAAATGCTATGAAGTTAAAAAAACAACAGAATCGAGTCAACAAATCGAAAACACTATTTAAAAATTCCGCCAAATGCAATAAATTAGACAAATATACCTCGAATTTCAGGATAAATAAGTTTGCACCCAACTCAACCCAATCCAATTCAAGGTACATCCAACAGAGTTTCTAAACAACTCTTAAGCGACTATCATTGTCGCTTGTGCACAACCGGAAGGTTTTCAAACAGCTCAAAATGCACTCGAGTGAAATTTTCGAACGCAGCCTAACTCAGAGAAAAGATAAAGGTTCGTTTTCGAAGAACTTATGAACTGATGCACAATAAGTTAAAGTGAAAGAAAATGTACTTATTTGACTCTAACTTATCGTACTAGTGCGCAAATTCTTCGAAAACAAACAGATCTAATAAGAACAAACCTAAAATATCTCTTTGGGGTCGTTTTTAATGGATAAATAGGTTACATTAATATCGTTAACATGTTGCGACAAAAGCGTATAGATTAAAACCCAATCTACAATAGATGGAGTAAGGAGTAAGAGTAGAAGTAAGAAATAAGCAGTAAGCAAATTGACCAATTCCATTCTTACGATTCAAGAATAATCGATTGTGATTGGTCTATTTACTTACTGCTTATTTCTTACTCCTACTTCTACTCCTTATTCCATCTATTGTAGATCGGGCCTAAATCGCATGTAATGTTAAATTCATCGTGTTATTCTCTAAGAATGTTTTGCCGCGCTTATCGAAACGAGCCTAATATCTACCTTCATATCTAACTCCGAAAGACGACAACATAGCAAATAAAGATGAGCAGAGTCTATTTATGTACATGCAATGTGTGGACAATATACGTATAATTTTTATTTGCTTTTCATAATCACCTATTATCTTTATTAATAAATGCACAATCAATAATACTGATTTCGCGAGAAAAAAACGTTCTAATAACAGAGAAAAAAAGTAAAAAAAAAACAGCATCGAACAATTGAATTGTCATCATACTTACTGGGAATTGATCTGCGAAGATAGCCGAGGGACCGCATTTCATGGTGATCGAAGCGTCCGTGCGTAAGTAAACGTACGTACTGTCGAATTGACGTGGATAATGAATCAGATCGAAGTCTCGAGGCGCCTTGAATTCGATTAAAAAATAAGAATACCACACGTACACACTTCTCAGGCAGTCGCCAGCCACACACTATACACCGTACATGTTGACACATGCAGCTCAGCTGCGACTGCTAGAAAGTGGGGATGGTCGACCGATGAATCGATGTTCGACTCGTTTACGTCAGAGAATCAATTGCCCGCGCAATATTTTTGAATTCAAATAGATTTCGCGCTATTCGTTCAGTTTCTTGATTGGATCTTATTAGATTTTATCGATAAATTTTGCCTCAATGTGTGACTTCTGTATGCACGCACTTAGTTTGATATATCTCGCAGGAATCAGTTTTGCACGAATTTGTGCTTTTCAATATTGTAATGAAGTTATAGCTGTTTATATGGCATGTAAAAACCGGTTTATACCAACAGTAACATTGCAATGTGTGCTTTCAATAATGTTATCAACAAATATAGATTATCTCATTCTAAAAGTTGCTAAAAACAATTGTTTTCAACAAGTTATCAAAATCCATCAGAATGTTTTCAACATTCTGCGAAAAACAAATATTATTGAAGTTATTTATTTTGATAACATTCTAATAGTTTTGCCATCAACATTGTCAAAAGTATTCTTTTCTGCGATCCAACACTTTACGTTTTAAAACAAAGGATGTTGGAAATAAATTAACAGAAAATTGAATTAGATATGTGTTAGTAGCATTGTTATTACAATAAAGTTTTAGCCGCGTAGATTCTTCATTGTCTGATTTTGCTATTGATTTTATTATTTAGAAATTAAAAATGTTAATAACATTTGTTTTCAACATTCTGCGAAAAACAAATATTATTGAGAAGTTATTTATTTTAATAACATTCTAATAGTTTTGCCATCAACATTATCAAAAGTATTCTTTTCTGCGACCCAACACTTTGCATTTTAAATAAAAGGATGTTGAAAGCAAATTAGCAGAAAGTTGAATTAGATATGGTTAGTAGCATTGTTAATATAAAAAAGTTTTAGCCGCGTGGATTCTTCATTGTCTGATTCCGACGTTTCACGAACATTTCAGTCCGCTTCATCAGAGAGGAATGACCCGATGCCGAGTTGCTTCTAAGAGGTCTACCTTTATATAGTGGTCGGCATCGGGTCATTCTTCCCTGATGAAGCGAACTGAAATGTTCGTGAAACATCGGAATCAGACAAAGAAGAATCCACGCGGCTTAAGCCCGGAAACCAAATCTAATATTAATGGACACCGCGAAAGCCTCAAATATCAAAACAATAAAGTATTGTTTTAATTGACTGTATTATTCAATACGGTATCATTTGATATATCATACAACAAATATTGTCGGACTTGCCGATTAACTGGCGAATAGAGGATTTCTAAGGTTCCTAACATTTCAAAATTATTTGTCTACTATGATGGTCCTTTTTTGAAGATACAGTTAATACATAGTTGATTCTTCTTCTTCTCCTGCAAAGTTGAACCAAGTAGAACTACACAAGCTGAACAACGAGAAATAACTACTTCTTCCTCAGAAGTCATTACTGAATGTAAAAACTGTTAAATTTGTATAGAGCACACACTTGCTAGTAATAATGTTATTAACTATTAAAAATTGTCTAATTTCGTTGCAAACATTTGAATATTCTTTTCATCAATAACATTGCTATTAGCAATTTAATCGTGGTAAACAGTTTTTCGTACTTTATCGTTGACATTTGTTTTCTATATTGTTAAAACATATTTTGTTAAAATTATTCAGTAAATCGTCTGGAAAACATAGTTTTGTCAAAAAACCTTTTTATTAGGTTTTTATTATTAATATTGTTTTTACTGTTGTTTTATTTTTTCGATATATAAACCGGCTTCATATAATATTAAGATAATTATTATTATAAGATAATTAATAAGTCAATAAATGATTAATAGATTATTTTGTAACAGAAATTATGAAATTGAGACAGACGCGAATTCTTAATCAAAGCAGATAAAAAACAAGTTAGACATCCGAAAATTTTCATTCAAAAGGCACAACTCAACAACGATTGTGGTCTATTTAAAATTTCCACTAAAAAATTTCAAAAATAAATATATTCTCATCAATTCTAGTAAGCTTTAAATAGTTGTACAACAATTAAAAGTAATAAACATGCATTTTTTTACACATGCTTTCTTTTACATACAAAATATTATGAATCTTTTGTCTAAGATATTTTTTCATTATTTTGAAGATATTTATTCACAATAAATTTTATCGAATCATGTTCGAGAAATTGTTTTACTCCATAACCGTGAAAGAAAGGAAAGAAAATATGTATCTCTAATTTTTAGTTGTTCTACATTAAAACCTATCATGATCAACAGGCATTTTTTAAAATTTGCCTTATAAAATGTTGTCGAATATTGCTAATCTACTCGTTATAGCAACATATAGCAGCAGAAAGAAAAAATCGCACTGTACAGATACACGCTTCGCTTACACTTTATTAATTCATTTGCAATACATTAATTAAGTTTGTTTAAATAGCATCGGAGGCTACCTAAAGTATGCCTTCGTATATACTATAGACAAACAATCATCTAACTTAAATCTTTCTTTCTCTCTCTCGCTCGCTCGTTCTTTCGATTTCACTCACATTCACACGCACGCACGCTTGTTTTTCTTTCTCTCTTTTCCTCTTTCTTTTTCTTTCGCTCTCTTTCTCTCCTTCCATGCACTTCCTTTGTTTCTCTTTATCCGTTCCATTAATCAATATCAGTTTATTATTACTATTTTACCATTGTCTCTCATTATCATTATATATACTATATATATATATACTATATATATATATATATGTATATCGTAAAATCGACGTTTAAAAACTAAAATTCGTATAAAAAGCGTCATTATTCGTACTAACAATGTAACTGTACTATTTAAATAATAATTGAATTTTAAAAAATTACTTGTTCTTGTTGTCAGTTTGTCGTTTGAATGTATGAGATGTCTAACGCATCGGCTACTGTATGACGGTGTGAGACGTACACGAACGAAGCGGCACATAGTGTGTCTCTCCGAGAACAATCGGTAAGATCGACAAAATGCCCCACAGTCTGCGCTCGCTCTCCCTCTTTCTCTTTATTTTACAAACAAGAAAGAAACAAAGGAAGAAAAAGGAGAACGGACTCGCGATGTCCGCGAAATTAAACGTCCGAATAACAAGTTGATTCACGTTAGGACAGCTTTGCGAACATCATCGCGAAGCAGATCTCGCGCAATCCAATAAGAAATAAAACGTAAAAGCTTCGCTAGAAAAATTCCATACAAATACTATATACACATAGTACATAGCACACGGACATGGATCGTCGCATTTTATCTAAAATTATACATCCTTGGATTCTTAAAATCATAAGGTAACGATACTTTATACACAGCTTTGATGGGCGAAAACAATGACTTGTGTTTGCCGGTACTTAATTAAAAAAAAATAATAAAATATAATTTTAAAAAATTCTTATTCGCGAATTCTCGGCGCAAGTCTTGTCCGCGATCTTACCGGCTGTTACCGCATGTCCCTTAAAAATTTATCGCTTACGACAACATGGAAATACCGTCGCTGTTGTGTGTTTCAGTCGCACCCTGCAGGATAATTATTTTTCGCATCGTAGTCGCTCCCCTCCCCCTTCCTCTCTTCCTCTCAACCTTCTCTACTCGCTGGTGTTTATATTCTAGCTAATACTTGTACACACTACGAATGTTTTTTCTTTTTTTTTCTTCTTATTTCTTTAAATCGTAATCATTTAGCAGCACGTCACATTACGGCTGAACTCTCTTTCTCCTTTTTCCTTCGTCGCTCACACTCTCTTTCTTACTCTTACACTCTCACTCTCATTCTCACTCTTTCTCTCCAGTTCTCTCTTTTTCTCCTTCTCTCGTGTTATTACCGACTATACGCTATTACGAGCAATAATGTACATCAATTACATACAAAACAAGATGCAGCGTGAACGCTCTCGTTACATCGTTACTGTCGTTTCACGCAATGGTCGCAGAGCACTCTTTACGAAGGTACCGCGCGACTTGAATTACAATCGGAGAAATTCACCATTAATCCGACACCTAATTTCTCTCTCTTCCTCTCCCTCTTTTCTCTCTCCCCCTTTCTTTCTCTTCGCACAGTGCAATACGCTATCTTTCCGTTTTTTTATTCTACTGCAATGCAGTAGCAGCAGTAGTAGCAACGACAACTATATATTTCAATTGAAAAAAGACCAGCGGCTCATACACGATCGAGCTATCGTCGTTCACATTATCATCATTATTATCGTTATCATCATCATCTTTATCATTATCATTGTCATCGTAATCGTCATCGTCGTCGTCGTCGTCGTTGTCGTCGTTGTCGTCGTTGTCGTCGTTCTTGGAAAGATCTCCCTTCTTTATGGAGACTCAGCCGCGAGATATTCCATCGTCGAAATTAGCGCTGTTAAAATCGCGAGCACAACACACCTTATACAATCGTAGCAATCAGAACGCATCGCAATGCGACACAGAAAAAACATACAGCGTGGTGTTTTCCTTGCCGGATCTGAACCGAAACCAACATCAACTGTCCATCTTTTGTCTCCTTCTTATTATGTTATTCTCCCGGATAATTCGTTTTCTTCAAAAAGCGCGCTCGTCTCGCGACGCGATCTCGCTTCTCTTTTATCGTCTTTTGTATCCAAATGATGATCACTTGCGTTTCTTTTCTCTTTTTTCTCACGCTAACAATCGCAAATTCTCGAACGCGCTAACTAGTGACGATTAGATGATAGTTTTCTCCAACATTTACATCATCCCTGAACGACTAATTTCGCATGTGTTTATGTATGAATGTATGTATGAGTGTGTTTGTGTATGTCAACACGGAACCTTCGTCATATTCGACAAATGAAAAAGCAGGAGACCGGAGAAAGTGTATGCTCGTCTCTCTCTCTTTCGTTTCTCTTTTCCGTTTCCACGGATAACGTATGATACTTTCCGCGCGTGCCAAATTAATTAGTAATTTCTCGTATACGTGCGTACGATATGAACACGTTACGCTACAACTCTCTTCGCATCAAATTTTAACGGCAGTGGATGATTCTGGATTGATGCACGCACGAACGTATCCTTATTCAAAACGACGTTTTCCTCTCTTTTTTCCTTTCGCGTCGCAACACTTGAAAATTAAACTGACGAAGAATTTTAAAATGATTTCGCTTACTTTCTTTTGTCAGCGATAACGAGTGCCTCTTCTTAACGTAACGATGACATGTGCGATGTGATTGTTGAGCACGTTAAAACAAATCGCATAATTTTTCTTATCTCCACAGAAGCGATCACGCCTATGTCTAATTATATTAATTTATTAAGTCCGAGAATTATCAATTAATAGTCACGGTAAGGACACGCGTCCTTGCCCCGAAATACTGACACGAATACTCTCTTTGTTTCTTTTCCTCTTCGCCACGTTCAACCAAGTTTTCGTACTTCGTGCATCTTTCTTTCTCTTTTTCTCCATTTGCATATTCGCTCAACATAAACATAAATACCGAAAGCAAAAAAATATCGAAACCGAGATAGTCCTGCGATACGGCGTTGAAATTTCGTCGTCGACTCGAACTTTTCACTTTGTTCGCTTTCCTATCTACTCTACTTTCTACACGGCGAATAATACCCTTATCGTGCTCATCCGTGGGCGAGGATGTGTACGTGTATGTACGTATTTGTGTATGATGTGTGTTTTAATATGTATATATATATATATATATCCTGTATACATATACATTATATATTCATATATATATTTATATATTTATAACTTTTCTCTTTTTCTCATTGCCTCTCTCTCTCTCTCTCTCTCTCTCTCTCTCTCTCTCTCTCTCTCTCACTCACATGTATTATTTTGCAAAATATTTCTCTCATCAACGCATTGGTAATATTAAGCCCATATAATACAATCGCAAATTACACTCACACGCTTTTAGGCAATCGTTTACTCGATAAGTACAATGTCCATTCTCGCGTTGTTCCATATCCCGAGTATCGCGTGGGGATCGGAACGACGATAATTTCGTCGATCAGCACGTCGATGTCAAGACGAAACTCTCGGGAAGTCGCGAAATCACGGAATAAGGAGGATATCTTCGATCGAGAGCGGAGTTTCTCGCGCAACCGTCGCCGTCAAGTCTCATACCAAAGTTAAACAAGGTATAAATACGGCGGCGGACTGAAAGAGAACGGTTCTCAATGTGATTACTTTATACAACGACAAGACAAGTTCGACAAGACAACGTCGTCGGTGGCTAAACACGGGGGAGGAATAAAGTACGCGCGGCCCTCGAGAGCGCGAGGGAGGAGCGGCGCGTAGCCTCGCGGTATCACGGCAATTATAACGAGCGATACGAACGACACACGGGCGAGGGGTAGCGCCGCGCTCAGCGATTATTATTATTAATAGTATTATTATTAATATTATTATTACAACGAACGGAAAATGTTCGGTCGGTCGCTAGAACGAGACCGACTAATGCTCGGAAGTGGATAGAAGGGAATCATACATCGTGTCCTTCTCTTTTTCTCTCACATTCTTTCTCTCTCTCGCTTTCACTTTCTCTCTCTCTTTCTTTCTCTCTTGATCGAACGTCCACGACATGTTGATCATTGACGCTGTGTGTTGTTGTATGTATTATATTCTAGTAGTAGAAATGGGCGAAACTGTTGCAGGTGTTGTTGCGCGAACGTACCGAGCCTCAGCTATGTGTTTGCGGATGCGGAGGCGGGGAGCCTGTGATCTCGGTCCAGCGCATTTCGAAGAAACTGCGCATTCCATGGCCGGCCTTGCCCACAGGACTGTCGTCCTCGTTGAATACTTCGCAGTTGATGAACATCTGCCTGACATCGGCGCAAAACTCATCGCGAGACTTGTACCTGTATCGAGAAGCACTCGTTGTGAAAAAATTTGGGCCTGCCAGTTGCACGAAAGAACAGGACAGTCGTTGATTCACGTGGTTAAGATGAATTTCTTATTTTACTTCGCGCGATTTCGACAGGTATGCGTATATAGGTGTATATACATGTGATTTAAGGTAGTCTCTACTGGAAGAAGTCTGTCTTTTAAAGACCAGGAGGATTCTCGAGGGAGGAGAGCAACAAGGCGAATCATTATTTAAAAGCTCATGCGTCTCGTTCGCTTAACTAACCCTGTACTCTGCGCGTATTGTTGGCAACTTACGCGGAGTCCTGCAACTTCTTCTTAATCGTACTGAGATCCATAGGGGTTTTTATGATTTTCTTGTAGGTCGGGAACTGTTTGGTGTTCACTGGCAGGAGGAACGGCCAAGCCTCATCCTGTTGCTCCAACTGTTCGAGGAGTACCTTACATGGTGCCAGCTCTCGTTGTTGCTTCTTTGTGAGTGTCCTATTGTTACCCTCCTTCCGTGGTGAAGCGGTAGGAGTCGCCGGTTCCGACGAACTGACGTCCTCTACGTGTGTGTTCGATGCCGTTGATGGCGTTGGACTGCGGCGCAAAACAACAGAGAAATTATTTGCACGATTAGCTTCCGTTTTGCAGGAGGTTTCCGGTTTCATATAAGCCTCTGTGGACGAATGCGCAAGGACGAATGCATAAGATTCAATCGTGCGAGATCCGGCTGAGACGAGTACGTTGCTCTCGATGGAATATTTGCGTTTTCTCTCCGGTTCGCTGTCTCTCGTGCGCTCGTTTTATTACTTTTTCCGCTTTTTTCCACCCTCTCGCTCTCTCGGTACTTTTTCCGACTCCGTCATCTACGACCTGAAGACGGCACCTACCGTTACGACGAATTTTTTTTCTGAGAGAATACCCATCCCACAGTTCGATGTTCGCAAGTAATGTACAACACACTAGGCAACAACGACGTGACGAGAATGTTACAGAGTATCCTGGCGGACAAGATAAATCCGATGAGATTCTTAGTCGCAACAAGTTTACAAAAAGCCATTCAGCTTGCAACTTGGTTGAAAAAGTGTTGTATCATTCATGACAACATACATACACCGTCATCGGGAGGAACGAGTAAAATCGGATCTGGCTTCTCGTAGAACACCCTGTATTCGTAATGCAAAGTTTTCTCGGAACGACAAAGAGTCTCGATGATTTTGCGACACGGACCGGAGATTTGTAAGTCGATAATTACATGACCGCGGTATATATATATATATATATATATATATATATATATATATATATATATATATATTTTGTTTTTATATATATATATATATATATATATATATATATATATATATATATAT